GGCGTTGGCGTTGTTTTTTCTTGGGCGCTTCAGCCTTGTGGCTGCGCTGATGTGCTGTGCTGTGCTTGCTTGCTTGCTTGCTTTGCTTACTATTGACTTTGTACACGCACACACGCTCCGATAAGCCATGACAGGCTACTAGGCTAGGCTAGGCTACATCATCATGCACAAACGGCGGACTACCGGTGCGGGCTGGAAAACACGGTCGATTGGACGGGGTGGCAGCGCGGGATCGTTTGCTTTTTTTTTTTTTTGCTTTTTTGCTTTTTGCGAGGGGGAGAGGGGCAGAGGTGCTGCGAACGGTTGCGGGAGGGGGGAGGGGAGGGCGGCTGGGATGGATGGGCATGGGTTGGTTGTGTGAGGGTGTCTGGTGTGGTAGGTTACTGCATGTACTGTGGCTGACTTATTTGGCGCTGGGCAGGGCAGACGGGTGGTGAAATGGCCATTGCTGCCTATTTCTTTGTTTATGGGATTCAAGGGACTCGCTCTGTGGAATTCCTATTCCAAGGCTGGAGGAGGAGAGAAGAGTGTCTGTTTCAGCAGCAAGGACAACCAAGAAAAAAAGAATGAAAACACCAACATCAATATCAAAACAAATGACAAGAAATTGCGCACCACCAGTCGCAGACCACAAAACTCTTAAACGTGGCCACTTTTGCGGCTCAACTTGTCAGGTTTCATTTCAGCCCCTCGTCTTCCCTCCTCGTTCGTTCCATCGATCCCAGCTTGCTTGGTCGATATGAAGTGGCGTTGCTTATCCCTTGGACGCGGGACCTTGGTGTGACGAAATTACCCTCTAGGCAACCACCGCAACCACCTGTCATCGCCCCCGTGCACAGCACCTGCTCTACTGTGTACCTGCCTACACACACACGCGCGGTCTTTTCTTCTCCCCTACTCTACTCTACTCTACTCTACTCTACTCTACTCTACTCTAGGCAGCAGGCTCAACAGCGGCACGGAGATGCTACCACGTCGGCGTCGCCACAAATTTGCCCATTCACTCTTGGCGAGACGGTTGGGCGTCGCCGCGCTCATGCCCTTTCCGATCGGCAGGCACACGAGCTGAAGCGGCGCAGTGCGGAAGCCGGATCGACGGACCAGTGGATACCTTTTTTTGCACTTTGTTGTCTCGTGGACACGGGCCGTAGCCGGGGCCGGGCGTGAGTTTGGTTGGCCTGTGTGGTCTGTGGCACGGAGAAGAGGCTGCAAGGGGACCGATGCTTTGGTCTTTCTGCCCTTCCCAGTTCCCAGCTTCCCTCACTGGAATGGTGCTCTTCCACTGCTCCCGCGTAGTACTCTACTGTACTCTACCTACGTCGATCGGCCCGCCATCTCGTTCCCGGAGCTGTCTTTTCTCTCTTCTTTTCTGACCCTTGGACGTGTCACGGCTTGACTCACGAGCTGAGCAAGTGGGCGATCACAACTGTCTCCTGGTACCACATTGCTCGGCCAAACAGGGTACCGGAACAAGCCACTGTTGCTGGTCTTGCGGCGTTTCGTCGCAAACTTTGACAGATGACTCGGCAGGTGGAAAGAGAGGCACATGCAGCCACACACACACACACATACTATAACACACACACTCCGGATGCTGCGCGAGGTCGGGTCCATTCTGTGCGACACAGGCCCCCAGGATGGACTGGCAACGAAATGTTGGCGAGTAGATGGGTACACGGGCTGTGAATGCATTCAGCACTGTCCTCTGCCAAAACTTGTAGACTGGTATGTAGTATTGGTACCGTATCTACTTGCACTACTGTACGCTACACAGGCCCCAGTTTTCCAGACTGCAACAGAACATGTAGAGTAGACAGAGGAAGGAGAACAACACAGTAAGCACAGTAGCAGCGGCAGCAGGTGTTCAGTGTTCGTTCATGCAAGCACCCATCCCCCATCACACACACACACACACGCGAACCAATACAGCGAGCAGACCGACGACCAGACCCGGGCCTGTTTCGAAACAGCTGGCCGGTGCAGCTTAGAGTTTCTGCACCTTCACGAATCCGTCATGGTCGTCCATCATCCAGCCAGCCCGCCAGGACTAGCTTCACTTACTACAGAAGACTGAGGAAATGGGCTAGAGTAACGGGTGTGCGCGTGTTTGCGTGCAAGGACTGCCGTGTACTGGTCTGCTTCGTCTCCACCAGCTTGCAGCCATGATCCACTTGGATTGCTTCTCCGCATGCTAACCACTGTCGTTTGTACTTGTACATACTCCTCCACCCTCCACCCTCTTACCCCGCAGTCCTTCCAGCAAGTCCTTCCGAGCGAACCGTGTGGACTTGCATCATCATCATCATCATTGTTATCATCTGGCGTCATCATCAATTCCACTTTTTCAATCTTCTTCTTCTTATTCTTCTTCTTCCGACACAACCATGATGCAACAACCGTTTCGAGAATCCAGTTGGCTGGCAGACATTCTCGTCACAAGCACATCATGAGGCAACTTGCGAAACAATCGTTCTCTCGTAAAACCCCCAGCCATGTCAAAGTGTGCAACCACACACACACACTACACACATTTCATTCTTCGGAACCGGCCGATGCACAGAAACAGAAACGCACTGCACGACGCACAAACACAAGGTTCTGGGGTTTGTGCCTTGTGCGTGTGTGCTATGCTATGTAGAGTAGTGGTGGGGCAAGACATGCCACGTCCTATCTGGTAGAATTCCAGCCGCCCGCGCAATTGGACGAATGCGAAATGTTCCAAAGCCCTATGGGTCGCAGATGTGGCCGCGCCTCTTTCCCCCTCCCCTCCCCCTGCGGTCAGCTGCTGGCTTTTCGGGCTCCGACAGAGTCACGCCTATTTTATTTATTCTCCTGGGAGAGAGGGTGAGGGTGTGCTGTTTGTCTGATTAAGCGCTGGAGCCTGCTGCTGCTTGGGCGCTGGTTATGTGATTGGCTTGGATTGTGGAAGGGATGTGGATGATGATGATGATAATGGTGGTGGTGGATGGGATCATGGAAGTCTTGTGCTGACGTACAGTACCATGCCATGTACACGGCGTTTATACAATTTTCCTGATTCAACAGGCTGGGCCCATCCATGTCTATACCATACCATACCATACCATGCCGAGTGAGTGAGTGAATGAGTGAGTTTGCAAATCCGCCCATCAGCCTCGCAGCATCTCCGCCAGACAAGGCCAACTTTCGCAGTCACAAACCCACTTCACATGACGACGGCCCGCAAACAAGCTCCAGCACGTCAAAGGTAGCCATGCACTTGGGTCTATCCACTTCAATCAGCGCGCGGCGCAAGCAACAAACACCACAACCCAGCACACTCCCACAAACACTCCCCTCACACTCGCATCATCACCCCCAACGTTGAAAACAAAAAGCCGTCTTCTCTTCCCCACCGTTTATACTTTTCACATTACACATGCCTACCTGCCCTCTGACTCTCAGACTCTCAACCCACTCATCACACTTGCACCCTCATCACATACCTACACCATGCACAACCCCCCTCTTCCACGTGCGCCCCCCGCCCCCGGCGAAATCAGCGTCTTTGACATGTCTAAGCGCCTGCATGCTGGTCTGCACTGCTCTGCACTGCACGAATAAAGTATATTTCAAAGGGTAAAAGTTTGCTTCTAGGGTACGCATACATGTGGAGTATTTGTCTTGTGGGTGTTGTTGGGTGGGCTGGGGGATTGGGGGGGGGGGGGGGGGGGG